TGCTCCCTCTAAGCTGTGGAGTCTTGTGAGCAGAAATTCTCCTTTGTGAGCCACTGGCATCAAAGTTGTGAGCAAGCCATTTGGCTACTGCATAAATTGGTTTGCTCTGGAGCCCTCCTTCCTGACAACAGTGTGTGAGCCAGAGGCTACAAAACTGTGAGCTAGCTCACACTAACTCAGCTTAGAGGGAACACTGCCGGGGACTCAGGCAAAGGTCTTTCCCATCACCCCCTGCCTGATCCTTTTTAACTGGAGATGCCGGGGATTGAACCTGGGACCTCCTGCATGCCAAGCAGAGGCTCAGCCACTGAGCCACAGCCCCTCTTTACAGCTCTCCAGGGTCTCAGGCAGAAGGTCTTTCCCATCACCTCCTGCCTGGTCCTTTTTAACTGGAGATGCCGGGGATTGAACCTGGGACCTTCAGCATGCCAAGCAGAGGCTCTGCCACTGAGCCACAGTCCCTCTTTGCAGCTCTCCAGGGTCTCAGGTGGAGGTCTTTCCCATCACCTCCTCCCTGGTCCTTTTAACTGGAGATGCCAGGGACTGAACCTGGGGCTTTCCGTGTGCCAAGCAGCGGCTCTGGCACTGAACCAGAGACCCTTCACCTAAAGCACCTGGCGCAGTGCAGAGGAGGAGGAACTGCCTAACACACAGCCCAGGTTTCTGGTACAGCCCCATCTCCCCACCCCTCATGTGAGCAACAGGCCAAGGCAGCATCCTGCCTCCCCAGAGTGGCCAGCCAGTGGGGGGGGGCCCTCTGCGAGGCTTCTAAGTGGAAATCCACCTCCCCCTGCACACTTGAAGCTGCCTCCCACGTCACCAGAACTGCCCTCCTCAGTAGACAGCTAGGACAGTTCCTTCGAAGGCAGCGGTGGGGAATCGGTGACGCAGCACTGAATATTTCCATGGGTGACGCGCATGCAAACAATTAAGTCTTTCCAGCAGGCCTTGACTAATTTTCTTCGGCTTTAACAAGTCCCCTTCCCCCCCCAAACCTGGAACCAGAATTTATTTTTCCAGCCTTCAGGGTATTCTGTTGCAATACCCGTACTTTCTAATTATTCCTGTCCCAAAACCAAACACCCCAAACTCTTCACGGTTTCTTGCCATTGTTAAAGCTGTAATATACACGTAAATGTGGTGGTACCTAAATTAATATGGGGTAAGCAGGGTTCTCGTCACGCCCAAAAGCCAACCTATGTCATCAGTGTTCCCTCTAAGCTGTGGAGTCTTGTGAGCAAACATTCTACTTTGTGAGCCACTGGCATTGAAGCTGTGAGCCCCAGGTTCAGTCCCCGGCATCTCCAGATATCTGGAAAGGCGGGATATAAATATAAACAATAAATGAATAAAATACTGGAGCCATCCTTCCTAAGCGAAGACAAAAAGGTGTGAGCTGCAGGCTAAAAAACTGTGAACTGGCTCACACCAACTCAGCTTAGAGGGAACACTGCTCTGGAGCCCTCCTTCCTGAGCTGAGACAAAAACGTGTGAGCCGGAGGCTAAAAAACGGTGAGCTAGCTCACACTCACTCAGCTTAGAGGGAACACTGCTCTGTAGCCATTCTTCCTGAGCAAATACAAAAATGTGTGAGCCGGAGGCTAAAAAACTGTGAGCCAGCTCACACTCACTCAGCTTAGGGGGAACACTGCTCTGTAGCCATTCTTCCTGAGCGAATACAAAAATGTGTGAGCCGGAGGCTAAAAAACTGTGAGCTAGCTCACACTCACTGCGCTTAGAGGGAACACTGTCACCTAAATATGCTTTGCTTCAGGGGGCAGCCATGGTGGTCTACAAGAGAACAGCTAGGTTTGAGTCCAGGAACAGCCCAGAGGCCCGGCTTTCAAGAGCCAAAGGTCCCTTCATCAGATAGGGCCCATTATTTGTACTAGTGTCTGACGAAGAGAGCGCTGACTCTCAAAAGGCCATTCCCCAAAACTCTTGTTGGTCTCTGAGTTGCTCTGAGACTCAAATCTGGCTGTTCTAAATAAGCTCTGACCTTCTGCTGGGAATCACCAAGAGGCACATGCAATAAACGACTGCTGATTATACCCAGCACCCCAATGAAATTCCTGAGTGCCGTGGGAACTGGGCGTCCGGGATTCGCTGAGCCCTGTTTTAGGGTCCCAAAATGTGGGATGCACCCCACACTGAGATTACTGCAGGATGGGGGAGGGGGCTCCAAGCTCTTGAAGGAGATGAAATTGGGGGTGGGGTGCCAGCCGAATGTCAATTTCAGCCCCATTATATCCTATGGGCCACTGAAGTCAATGGCGAAAACATAAGGTATATTCTGGGGGCTGGAGGGGAGGGGGCTTGAGGGAGAGGCTCCAAACTCGCAGGGTAGCTGCTGGAGCCTCTCCCCAAGATACCAACCAAGGTTGAAGAACATTGGACCGGGGGACCAATTATACGGG